CTGCATCTCTATTAACATAAGTAATGCACTGGTCAGTTTGGTCGGTATGCGCGCCTGTAGTGCAGGTACCATGCACAGCTAGAATGCCTATATTTGCCGAAGTACATATATCCAAAATGTTAGAACCTGGTAGGGGGGTGGAAAATGGCTTAATTTAGTGGAAAAGGAAGAAATATATGGTATTCACAATATTTCTACAAAGAAAATGATGCGTTGGTCGGTTCGGTCAATATGCACGCTTGTGTGCAAGTACAAGGCAGAGCTGGAACTCTGAAATCTCCCAAATTATGTGGATCCAAATTGTTAGAACCTAATGTTGTTGAAGTAGAAGGCCTAATCTAGTGGACTGGCAAGAAAATTGTACTAACTGCATCTCTACAAACGTAAGTAATGCGCTGGTCAATTTGTGTTATAGTCACAGTAGGCTCCAATGTGCCTAAAACGAAAGATAGAGAGCACAGACGGATTTCTGCACAGCGGCTTCAAACGTTGATAGCGTTCTGCTCACAGCTGCAAATGACTTGATTCAAATTGGATCTGGAGCGTCTTCACGTCGTCTACAATTATCAATTTAGATTGCACGATTTGATAAAGAATTGACGACACAGCGTCGGTTTGAACGAACGGTACTATGGCAGCCACTATAGTCTTAGAACACAAGATAGGAAGAGTTACGAGTTGGGAATGACTCCCAGCTCCTACAAACCCCAAGAGCCGAGGTACAGTGATGTGGAACAGTGCCACACTGTCCCCAACCACGAAGGGTCTCGAAACTACCCTTCACTAGGGCCTACACCAAGTGAAATATTACACTACACAAAGTAATGTAACTATCTTCAATATCTTGAGGTGTACCCTTTTTTGGCGAGCTTCGAAATCACTTGAGGCTTGACACCAAGGCTCGGGCTCTTCATCACAAACTCATCCTTGAGTTCTTGATGGGTCTGCTGCACACACCTGCGACACGCCGAACGTTCGACACAGCACAAAATAGAAACCGCGCACGACAAAATAGAAACCGCGCGCGAGACACAAACGACCGCGTAACACGCGTCTAGCGATAACTCGCTATTGACTCGACACACACACTCGACATCATGACTCAAACATTCACACACAATTATAAGCATGAAATATATATTATCCCATGCCCTCATACCATTCCATACACACACACATTCACGCACACGGACAACAAGCCGAGTGCAAACCGTAGGGTTGCACCAACAAACTCCCCCTCGGATTGTTGGCCTTAGGATATGTTGCTCTCTCAGTTCAAAGCCATCCCAGCCAGCTTGCAACACTTCCAATGCTGCTGCTCCACCAGCCTCTTGGTCATCATGTCAGCCGGCTGCCCCGTGGTCTTCACGTAGCGCAACTCAACTTCACCCGCGGTTACCATGCTCCTCGTCCAATGCCACTTCACCCTCATGTGCTTCGTGAGTCCATGCAACACAGGGTTCTTAGCAAGAGCAATGGCACCCTGGCTGTCACAGTACAGTGGGGTAGGTCCTTGCTGCTCCTCCCCCAATTCTGCCAACAAACGCCGCTGCCACACAATCTCCCGTACGGCACGGAAGAGTGCCATGTACTCGGACTCCACCGAGCTCAAAGCTTGGTCAACCTGCTTCTTGCTCTCCCAAGCAGTTGGGCCTCCACCAACACAGAATATGAAGCCTCCCACACTTGTCATGATTCATATGAAGCATATGAAGCATCCGAGTAGGCGGTGAGGAACAAACGCCCGGGTTCAACACCATCCGCGCCCTTTTGGCGCCTTTGTGCCGCCGCCGAGTATTGCAGCCCAACGGTCGGTGTTTGGCCAAGATACTTGGCCACCCTCATTCCAGCTGCTACCTGCTCCTCATTAGGGCATTGCACAACCCTAGCCAGCTGCCCGGTAGCAAACGCGACGTCCGGTCGGGTGTTTACCGCCGCATACATTAGGCTGCCCACCAACGAGTGAAATCGGCGCCTCTCCTCTTCACCAACGCTCTCCTCCTCTGGTCCCTTCACACACTTGAACCCAAAGGGAAAGGGTGTAGCCACATGGCCTTCACTCTGCCCAAAGTTGGCAGCCAATGCCTCCAGGTACTTTCGTTGATGCACCCGCATGCACCGCTTCTCCACATCTCGTTCGATGTGGAGCCCAAGGTAGAAGCTCACGTCACCAAGGGCCTTGCACTTGAACTTGTCTTGAAGCTTCAGCATCACCTCCTTCACAAGGTCAGAAGAGGGTGAGAAAATGAGGATGTCATCCACATAAACCACCATGAAACTCCTCTGCTCCCCCTCGCCAAGCATGAACAAGGAGTGATCGGCCGTTGAGGGAGTGAAGCCGATCCCCTCCAACACTTCGCGCAGCTTCATGTACCATTGCCTAGGGGCCTGCTTCAGCCCATAGAGGGCCTTCTTCAGCTTCCACACTCTGCCACTACCATCATCAAACCCCTCTGGCTGCGCCATAAAAATCTCCTCCTCAAGGATGCCGTTAAGGAATGCCGTTACGATGTCCATTTGCTTTACTACCCATCCTTTGATGGCGGCTCCCGCGAATAGGGTTCGCAGCGTCGTCGGCTTCACCACAGGGGCAAACAGCTCCTTGAAGTCCACCTTCTCCTTCTGCTGGTACCCCTTGGCTACAAGCCTAGACTTGTAGCGCTCGATCTTGCCGTCGGCATCCGACTTGATTTTGAAGAGCCACTTGGACGTTATCGCCGTACGCCCCTCCGGTAGCTCCACCAATTCAAACGTGTCATTCTCCTCGATGCTCTTCAGCTCACTCTCCATGGCCTTCTTCCACTCCTCAGCATCACTACTCTCCAAAGCCTCCTTGAGAGTTGCTGGTTCTCCCGGCATCTCCACCGGAGAGAAGAACGCGAAGGCACACTCCTCGTAGTCACTCTCCTCGTCGTCTCCGACCATCATTGCCGCTCCGGCCAGGGCTGTCTTGCCCTGCTTTCCCGGCGCATCATAGGTCAGCCTATTAGGGGGTTGAACTCTCCTCTTCCCCCTTCCTTCCTCCTCAGCTGCAGGGACTTGAAGGCCTTGGCGTTGCTGCGGTGTGGCTCGAATCCGTGGAGCACTCGTAGTACGGGAAGGGAGTGACGGTGCACGCTCGCTCACTTGCTGCACCTCCTCCTCTTCTTCCTCTGCATCATTGGCCTCCTCTCCCCCATTCACAAGGGAGGATTGCCTTGTGGTTGTGCTGCCGCTGCTCAGCTCCAAAGGCAGCTCCACATGCTCCAAACCGGAACTCTTCACCTCCCCAAACCGCACGCCTATCTTCGCCTCATTCTCCGCCTTCCAATCCTTGTACATGAAGTTCTCCATGAACTTGCAGTCCCTGCTCACCAAGAACTTCTTGGTGAATGGGTCCCAAAGAAGCCATCCCTTGCTGTTTTGAGCCATGCCCAAGTGCACGGCCCACACCGCCTTGGCACCAAGCTTGTTGTGCCGAAGATGCTTAGGCACGAGCGCCATGCACATGCACCCGAACACCCGAAGCATATCCACCTTTGGCTTCCTTCCTAGCCACTCCACATAGGGCACCCATTTGTCTGCTCCCACATGAGTCAAGGCTCTGTTCTTGGCCACACACGCGCTCCACACCGCATCAGGCCAGAAATAGTCGGGTAGCCCGGCTTCAATGAGCATCCCGCGTGCCGCCTCCGTGATTGTGCGGTTCGCTCGCTCGGCGATGCCGTTCATTGCAGGGGAGTATGGCATGGTGAGGGAGTGCCGAATACCATTCTTCTTCAGCCACAACCCAAACTCCTTGCTCAGGAACTCTCCCCCTCGATCGGTGCGGATTGACTTGACTAGACGGTCTTGTTGCCGCTCCACCATCGGGAACCAATCCGTCTTCAACGTTTCAGCCACGTCGCTCTTCTTGGCCAGCACGTACACCCAAGTCATGCGGGTGTAGACGTCGACAATGGTGAGAAAATACTCAGCTCCAGCAGCTCCAAGCTTCAGGGGGCCCACCACGTCCATCACCACCTCATCAAGCGGTGCCTTTGCCGTTGCCTCCGAACTAGGGAACGGAAACCGGGTGAACTTGGCTTGAATGCACGTCGGGCAGCCAAGCACCTCATCGGGCTCCCCCTTCACACGTATGCCAGCAACCATCTCATTCTTCACTAGCTGCTGCAAGATGGGCAGGGCCACATGCCCCATGCGCCGATGCAAGGTGAGCCAATCACACTCCCCCGTAGCCGAAGTTGGATTGGAGAATGCCGCGCTCGCAATAGCGCCCCACATACTCTCTCCGTAGTCCTCCTCCGCTGCTGCCTCTGGGTTCTCCTCACCCTTTTGCTGCTCCTTGGTTGCTGCACCACTCTCCTTAGGTTCACTGAACTTGCTGGTCCCTCCAGGTTTGCTCTTCTTGAGCTCATTCTCCTTAGCGCGACCGTTCGCGCCATCGTCGCAACCGACCGCTCCATCCTTGGTGCTGATGCTTGCTGCCACTTGCCTCTCCTTAGGCATAGGGACCACTGGGATCTGCCACATCTCTTTGTAGACATCCCTGTCCTCATGAAGGTCCCAAAGAATTCGATCGCCAAGCCTTGCGGTGTAGGTCTTGGCTCCCTTCGAGTTCGTGTCCATGCCGGCCTTTGCCAACCGCCGCACGGAAATCAGGTTTGCAGCAAGGCTGGGCACCCAAAGCACGTTCTTGAGGCCCACCATCTTTCCATCAGCACCCTTGAACATGGCCTTGCCCATGCCTTTCACCTCTGCTCGCTGCCCCAAAGCCGATGTGACATGCTTCACCGGTGACGGCTCGAGTTCGGTGAGCAAGTCCGGGCGAGGTGTCATGCTATAGGTAGCGCCACTATCAATCACCCAATAGTCCAGGGGGTGTAGGGTCACCTTCCCCACAGCTGCTGGCTCCTCAAAGCCTTCATCCTTCTCTGGACCAGCCGGTACTTGCGTCGACACGAAGTAGAATAGACCCGGGTATCGATCGTCGCCCGGGTCCTTGTCGTTGTCTCCGCTCTTCATGTTTGCAGCTCCGCCACCGCGACCGCCACGGCCTCCACGGCCTTGTCCTCTCCCTCCTCCTGCTCCTCTACCCTCTTGGCCTTGAGCAGGGGTCCAACCATCAGGGAGTTTGTAGCAGTCGCGCCACATGTGTCCGCTCTTGTGGCACTAGTGACACTCGCCGTCGAATCGGCCGCGACCGCGTCCGTATCTCTTGTCGTCGCTGCCGTAACCGCCACTCCTGCGGCCTCCGCCGAAGTTGCTGCCACCAAACCTTCCTCCCCCTCGTCCTCTGCCTCTTCCTCGACCATATCCACGGCCGATGCTCGCTGCCCCAGCGCCATCCGCACTCGCCAACTCACGGCGGCGGAAATCCTCTTGAAGGATAGCTCGCTTCACGTCTTCAAGCGAGAGGCGGGGCAAGTCGCGATTAAGGTTGATGATGAGCGAGGACCATGACTCTGGGAGTAAGGCCAGCAACTTGGTCTTCTTTTGGAGCTCACTGTAGTTCAAATCAGCTCCCTCAAGCCGCGTCAACAAGTCGAAGAATTTCTGCACCCCTTCTTCAACCGCTTCGTTTTCTTCAATTCGTAGTGCCGCCATTTGCCGTTCCAACACCACCGCTACCGCCGCTGTTGCAGGAACATGTACACCCTTGAGAGCAGCCCATGCCTTTGGTCCTTTCTCTGGTTCACGCTGGAATGGCTTGATGTGACGGATCTGACTGCTCCCCAACGCTTGCCCAAGTAAGAGATAGCCTTGTACGCTCTTCCGCACCCACGGGCTCTTCTCCGGGTCGTTCTCGGGGCGCTTCTCCGTTCCTTCCATCACCTCCAGCAGGTCATAGTGGTCAAAGATGTTCTCCATCTTGAAGGACCATTCAGCAAAGTTGTCACCGTTGAACTTGTCAAGCCCAAACACCCTAGGCTCATCCCTAGGTGGGCCAAGACTTGGTTGCATGGGCGCCATGGCTGAATCACGGGGTTGGCCTTGAGCTTGAGCTTCTCCACTGCCACCAGCACCTCTGCCACCCCTTTCCTCAGGTCCAGACATTGTCGAAACTGCTCCAAGGGGCTCTGATACCACTTGTTATAGTCACAGTAGGCTCCAATGTGCCTAAAACGAAAGATAGAGAGCACAGACGGATTTCTGCACAGCGGCTTCAAACGTTGATAGCGTTCTGCTCACAGATGCAAATGACTTGATTCAAATTGGATCTGGAGCGTTTTCACGTTGTCTACAATTATCAATTTAGATTGCACGATTTGATAAAGAATTGACGACACAGCGTCGGTTTGAACGAACGGTACTATGGCAGCCACTATAGTCTTAGAACACAAGATAGGAAGAGTTACGAGTTGGGAATGACTCCCAGCTCCTACAAACCCCAAGAGCCGAGGTACAGTGATGTGGAACAGTGCCACACTGTCCCCAACCACGAAGGGTCTCGAAACTACCCTTCACTAGGGCCTACACCAAGTGAAATATTACACTACACAAAGTAATGTAACTATCTTCAATATCTTGAGGTGTACCCTTTTTTGGCGAGCTTCGAAATCACTTGAGGCTTGACACCAAGGCTCGGGCTCTTCATCACAAACTCATCCTTGAGTTCTTGATGGGTCTGCTGCACACACCTGCGACACGCCGAACGTTCGACACAGCACAAAATAGAAACCGCGCACGACAAAATAGAAACCGCGCGCGAGACACAAACGACCGCGTAACACGCGTCTAGCGATAACTCGCTATTGACTCGACACACACACTCGACATCATGACTCAAACATTCACACACAATTATAAGCATGAAATATATATTATCCCATGCCCTCATACCATTCCATACACACACACATTCACGCACACGGACAACAAGCCGAGTGCAAACCGTAGGGTTGCACCAACAATTTGGTCGGTATGCGCGCCTGTAGTGCAGGTACCATGCACGACTGGAATGCTATATCTGCCGAATGATATAGATCCAAAAGGTTAGAACCTAGTAGGGAGGTGGGAAATTGTTTAATTTAGTGGAAATGGGAAAAATATATATTATTCACTGTATTTCTACAGAGAAAATGATGCGTTGGTCGATTCGGTCAATATGCACGCTTGTGTATAGGTACAAGGCGGAGCAATAACTCTGAAATCTCTCAAATTATGTGGATCCAAATGGTTAGAACCTAGTGTTGTTGAATTAGAAGGCCTAATCTAGTGGACTTGCAAAAGAATGGTTCTAACTGCATCTCTACAAACATAAGTAATGCGCTGGCCAGTTTGGTCGGTATGCGCGCCTGTAGTGCAGGTACCATGCACGAGTGGAATGCCTATATCTTTGAATTACATAGATCCCAGAGGTTAGAACCTGGTAGGGAGGTGGGAAATGGTTTAGTTTATATAGTATTCACTGTTTTTCTACAGAGAAAATGATGCGCTGGTCGGTTCGGTCAGTATGCATGCTTGTGTGCAGGTACAAGGCGGGGTTGGAACTCTGAAATCTCCCAAATTATGTGGATCCAAATGGTTACAACCTATTGCTGTTGAAGTAGAAGGCCTAATCTAGTGGACTGGCAAGAAAATGGTACTAGCTGCTGCGGAGATAACTACTACAACGGGAGCTACACTACGGGGAAGGCACGGGTGTAGGAGTAATCATAGCGTTCCTTTGTCGTTTGCTTGTGTTCTCTCTACTTGCACATTCAAGGGGAGAATTGGCAAGAGTTTCACTGGCAAAAGTTCACAACAATGATAACAACAAAGTTGGCAAGCAAGACTACATCAGATGCTAGCATGCATGTAGATCGACTGCCAGCGCAGCAGGGTCGACCGTGTTCCAGCACGGCAAGGCTGACTGCGCTCCAGCAGTGCAAAGTCGCGGTCTGCCAACGCTGCAAGTCGACGTCGTGCCAATGTTGCAGCAAGGCGGCTGCACAGCGTTGCGCACCCGCTTTGCAGGTGCTCGCAGGTGGTTGGCGTGCTATGCCCCGTCACGTGCACAGTGCAGACACCATGTTATCCACGTTCTGTTGACTGCACCTATTCCGCCACGTCGACCTTGGGATACCACCACCGAGGTCGGCTTTGCCAAAAACACCTGGGTGACTATCGCGCACCTCCGCAAACCCCGTCGCCCAGGTAACCTGGTCGCCCGGGCAACCACGTTGACCAGCTGCTTCTCCTCGTGCCCATCAACCACCCAGGTCGACGACCACTTCTTCTCGACTTCACCAAGTCGAGCGCACCTTCAGGTCGACCACTTCTGGTCGACCAACCCAGCTGTCAGCCGACCACGCCAAGTCGGCCACTCCCCTAGGTCGACCACCTCTGGTCGACCAGAACTACTGGTCACCGGCTGCACCCAGCCGGCTTCCCCAGGTCGGCGCCACCAAGTCGACGCCCTTCCAGGTCGACCTCCCAAGTCGACCTCCCGTAGAAGTCGTCCGCCGGCGTCCCTTAGTCGGCGGCATCGCAGTGGCCACGTGCAGGTCGACCAAACCCGTCGACCAGCTCGCCCTAGTCAGCGTCGCCCACTGCAGGAGGTCGGCTGCACCTCCTATACACCCGACCACGAAGTCAGGTCCGCCCAAGCGAGGACAGGGCCAACACACAACTCCCGTTGACAACTGCATCTCTACAAACATAAGTAATGCGCTGGTCAGTTTGGTCGGTATGCGCGCCTATTGTGCAGGTACCATGCACAACTGGAATGCCTATATCTGCTGAAGTACATAGATCCAAAATGTTAGAACATGGTAGGGAGGTGGGAAATGGCTTAATTTACCGTATTCTCCCGGACATAACACCCTAGGGTGTTATGATAAATATAGGAAAAAAATGGGGGGGGTCTTCTCATCGGAAAAAGCTACATACTACGCGGGTCTATTCATATGACATTTTAAATATAAGGATTTTGATAAATGGAGGGCTTGGGTGTTTTCAAAGGTTGTTTATAATCACACTTATAGGCAAGAACGCGAGTTTCGGCAAGTGGCATCTTGACCACCTTGCAGGTCCCTGATTCCATCCCCCTCTCCCTGATTCCATCCCCCTCTCCCTGATTCCACCCCCCTCACCTTGATTCCATCCCCCTCTCCCTGATTCCACCCCCCTCACCTTGATTCCATCCCCCTCTTCCTGATTTCCATCCCCCTCTCCCTGATTCCATCCCTCTCTCCCTGATTCCATCCCCCTCTCCCTGATTCCATCCCCCTCTCCCTGATTCCATCCCCCTCTCCCAGATTCCATCACCCTCTTCCTGATTACATCCCCCTCTCCTTGATTCCTTCCCCCTCTCCCTGATTCCATCCCCCTCTCCCTGATTCCATCCCCCCCTCCCTGATTCCGTCCCCCCCTCCCTGATTCCGTCCCCCTTTCCCTGATTCCATCCCCCTCTCCCTGATTCCATCCCCCTCTCCCTGATTCCGTCCCCCTCTCCCTGATTCTGTCCCCCTCTCCCTGATTCCATCCCCCTCTCCCTGATTCCATCCCCCTCTCCTTGATTCCGTCCCCTTCTCCCTGATTCCGTCCCCCTCTCCCTGATTCCATCCCCCTCTCCTTGATTCCATCCCCCTCTCCCTGATTTCGTCCCCATCTTCCTGATTCCATCCCCCTCTCCCTGATTCCATCCCCCTCTCCCTGATTCCATCCCCCTCTCCTTGATTCCGTACCCTTCTCCCTGATTCCGTCCCCCTCTCCCTGATTCCATCCCCCTCTCCTTGATTCCATCCCCCTCTCCCTGATTTCGTCCCCATCTTCCTGATTCCATCCCCCTCTCCCTGATTCCATCCCCCTCTCCCGATTCCTTCCCCCTCTCCCTGATACCATCCCCCTCTTCCGAATTCCATCCCCCTCTCCCTGATTCCATCCCCCTCTCCCTGATTTTATCCCCCTTTCCCTGAACCCATCCCCCTCTCCCTGATTCCATCGTTGTCTCCCTGATTCCATCCCCCTCTCTCGCATTCCATCCCCCTCTTCCTGATTCCATCCCCCTCTCCGTAATTCCATCCTCCTCTCCCTAATTCCATCCCCCTCTCCCTGATTCCATCCCGCTCTCCCTGATTACATCCCCCTCTTCCTGATTCCGTCCCCTTCTCCCTGATTCCATCCCCCTCTTCCTGATTCCATCCCCCTCTCCCTGATTCCATCCCCCTCTCCCTGATTCCATCCCCTCTCCCTGATTCCATCCCCCTCTCCCTTATTCCATCCCCCTCCCCCTGATTCCATCCCACTCTCCCTGATTCCATCCCCCTCTCCTTGATTCCATCCCCCTCTCCTTGATTCCATCCCCCTCTCCCTGATTCCATCCCCCTCTCACTGATTCCATCCCCCTCTCCCTGATTCCACCCCCCTCTCCCTGATTCCATCCCCCTCTCTTTGAATCCATCCCCCTCTCCCTGTTTCCATCCCCCTCTCCCTGAATCCATCCCCCTCTCCATGATTCCATCCCCCTCTCCCAGATTCCATTCCCCTCTCCCTGATTCCATCCCCCTCTCCCTGATTCCATCCCCCTCTCCCTGATTCCATCCCCCTCTCCCTGAATTCCATCCCCCTCTCCCTGATTCCATCCCCGTCTCCCTGATTCCATCCTCCTCTCCCTGATTCCATCCCCCTCTCCCTGATTCCATCCCCTCTCCCTAATTCCTTCCCCCTCTCCCTGATTACATCCCCCTCTCCCTGATTTCATCCCCCTCTCCCTGATTCCATCTCCGTCTCCCTGATTCCATGCCCCCTCTCCCTGATTCCATCCCCCTCTCCCGTATTCCATCCCCGTCTCCCTGATTCCATCCCCCTCTCCCGTATTCCATCCCCGTCTCCCTGATTCCATCCCCCTCTCCCTGATTCCATCCCCCTCTCCCTGATTCCATCCCCCTCTCCCTGATTCCATCCCCCTCTCCCTGATTCCATCCCCCTCTCCCAGATTCCATCCCTCTCTCCCTGATTCCATCCCCCTCTCCCTGATTCCATCCCCC